AAATTTTCCACCCAAGTCCTCTTTTTAATCATGTCTGTGTTTTAGATGGTTTCTTTAGGGAATATTAGTTACTGTTATGGAGGAAATTCAGACTTCAGTCTTTGGTTTTTAACATAAATCTTTTTATTTTTTTAGATTAGATATCATAGAATGCATGTCCAACCATTTTTCTCTCTTATGCCATTTTGGGTGGAATTCCATTTATATCTATCTATCTATATCTGTCTGTCTGTCTGTCCATTTTTGAAAGGGAAGCTAATATAAACTAAGACAAAGAAAAGAAAAAGAAAAAGTAAGAAATCAAAGAGAAACTTCAGGTAAGGGGAAAAAAAGTAAAAATAAAATTGAAGAAAAAGATACAAGGAAATAGCTCCCAATCTTCTTCACACCAAATACAATTATAAATTTACCTCTTACTCCATGGCTATAACATAAATCTCTTCTTTCTATAATTTGTACTCTAATCATCAAAACCATAAACCATAAGTTAGCTTCTTGCTGTTTCACACAAATAGTCTGTAAGGAGTTTCCAGTTAGCAATAAATGTAGATGTCTTTGCTTTGATCAAAAATATCAATTTAGGCAGTTCAGCAAGTTTCATTATTTTCACCAAACATTCCTCCATCATGGGTAATGTTTAATCTTTCCATTTTTATGCATACAATAATTTTGCTGCAGTAGTTATGTAAAAACTCCAAAGTTTTATGACTTTTTTCCAACCTTTGGCCTAAAAGCAAAATATCTGGTTTTTTATATTAATCTTTAAAATCCTTAGAATCAGTGTGTATCTGAATCCAGATTTTTTAAAAAAATTGTTTTACACACATGGTGACATATATCAACAGCACACCACTTTATAAAAATTATGTTTAAGATTATAACAATGTAAATTACAATCCTTACAGCCATATATTATCCCATTGTTCCACCTTTATTTTAAAACCAACATTTTAATCCACTTTTTTTACTTGTTCTTCTATTTCAAATTTCAGTAAACATCTATTAGGTAAAGATAAAGGTTCCCTTCACACATATGTGCTAGTTGTTCCCGACGTCTATACATTTTAGCAATTACATGACTGTACATATTTGTACATATTTCCATTTCAAACCCAGTTTTACAAGGCTCAAAACCAGAAACTCTTTTATCTACTTTAAATCTTTCTAATAACTGTAAATAAGAGAACAATTGACAACTATGTTCCTCTGCTACCAGTTCTCTTGATTTTATTTGGCATTCTCCTTGACAAATTCTAATATCTCACAATAAGTGATTTATTTTTGCTTATTATTTCTTGCTTATAAAATGCTTTTTGTACTAAAAGCTGCAAAAGTGACTTGGGCAAACTTGGGTTTATGTCTATTCTATATTCTCAATATGACGTGCTTAACATAATGATTTTTAAAATCCATATTAACCTTGACCTTGTTGTACCACAAAGATCCATGCCACCCAAATCTCAGGTCATGTCCTCCTGATTCCAAGAGCTTTCTATTTCTCAGCAATACCTACTCTTTCATCCAAATCAAATAGCAACCTGCATAATACAACTTCAAATCAGGTAGATTCAATCCTTTTTTCTTTGCATCATGTAGAACCTTATATTTAACTCATGTTTTTTTATTCTGTCATGCAAATTTAAATATATTCTTCTGCCACAGTTTAAATGATGCATCGGTTGTCAAAACAAGTATTGTCCAAAACAAAAACACCATTCTAAGCAAGACTTATATTTTTGTCACTGAAATTCTCCCCAGAAACTACATTTGTAGTTTCTCCTATCTTAACATGTCCTTTTCTAATTTCATTCCATATTCTTCTTCTCTGTCTTAAAAACCATTTTATTTATTCTGTTTGAGCTTTTGTTCTCATATTTTTGTTAATATTGTCTTCTGTTTATTAAACTTGAAACCTGCTAATGTACCAAATTCTTTTAATCTACCCATTATTATTTTAATTCTGTTCAAAGGATTTTCCACCACCAAGTTATCTGCAAAAGCCCTTAATTTATAACTTGCTTTTTAAATCTTTACTTCCCCAGTCCTCTCATTTTGTCTTATGTTTCTATTCAGTATTTTCAAGGACCAAAATAAACAAGAGAGATGACATCCCTGTTGTATTCCTTTGTGTATCTAACAGGGTTTTGTTAGATCTTCAAATAAATCAAAGAGACTTGTTTGAGAAAATTTCCAGTAGGGGCAATCAAAATGAACTCTACCATTGACGTTTGCTCTGAAGCAGAAAAATTTGGGTGAGCCAAATATGGTGTCTGGGATTAGATTGACAATTGGAGATACCATAACCAAGATACAGAGCCTGACAAATAGCATTTTTTACACTTCAAGCATGGAGTACATCAAAATTTGAATTTATTATCCCGCCAGTCTTGGATAAACAACCTTAGGTTGGAAGAGTGATCAGAAGGATTAATGCCATAAAGGACACATTTGTATTGTGTATTAATTATGATGAGAGTATTACATTAATTATTAAATGGTGTTTAATTAAATTTAACACCTCATTTTTTTCTCAGTAGAGATGAGGTAAATCCTTGAACTCCCTAAACCTTAATATAATTATTTATTAGATTTATATCCTGCCTTTGTTTTTGATCGACTCAAGGCAGCCTAAATACTTAATGCTCCCATCTACTGTTTTCTCCACAACAACCCTGTGAGGTGGCTTGGGCTGAGGTAGAGCATCTGATCTGAAGCTACCCATCTGGCTTTCATATCTAAAGGAAAACTAGAAATCACAGCCTCAGTTTCCAGCAGATAGCCCTAGATTAACCATTGAGCAGATTAAGCATGTCCTTAGAGGACACTAAGAAAAGTGGGTTCCACAATATTTTTCCCCTAATTCTTTCATTACCACACTTTACTTTAGTCCTTTATCCCCTTTGTATTAGTCCTTTTTTGCTGGATTGGACTTGAATCTGCATTATTTTTTTTAAAAAAATCCTTTTTATAGTGTCTACATTAAGTAGGTAGCAGTATTTACTCAACCTTAGTTTGCCTAAAACTTACATAGCCTCAAATCCAATTAGTAATTAGGTTGGGGAACCATCCAAAACATCATACTATAAACTAAATTTGGAAGTTGAAAAACAAAAGTATTGCTGCCAAAAAAGCTACTGTATCTGGCTGGGTCCAATTAGTGATCAAGAATGAAACACAATAAAAGAATTTTACATTTATAGTGTCTGAATAGAATTCTCTTTCATTTCCTTCCTTGTTCAGTTGTTTCATCTACTGTATTTGCTTCATATTCATCACATTTTCCTCTTGCTCCTCCTTTGCTGTTCCCGTTGAAAAGAGGAACAGGAATGTGTCTATGTGTAACTGTGTGCATTTCTATGAGTAAGAGGGAATAGTTGGTAGATACAAAGGTAGAATCAATCAAGTTTATGAATTGTGTGCTTTATTTTTGTAGGCAATGCATTTTAATTAATAATATTTATTAAAATATTTTTTCCTTCCTTCTTTCCTTCCTTTACAGGATATGTCTTAAATTTGTGGTTGTCTGCCTGTAAATTTGGTATGAATACATAGGACAACAATTGCACCTATCTTCTTTTAGATATATGTCATATTCTGTTCTTCATTTAAAAAAAGTTTTATGTAGATATATTTGCCACTTTTGTAATCGCAATTTGGGGGAATTTAGAGCATCTTGACATTCACATATCTGACTGAAAATTATATCATTTTTGTTAGCTACTGGTCCCCTGGAATGATTATCCTTAGGTTTGTGCTTATAGATACAGTGAGAATTCAGAGTGTAAGAATCGTGAATTCATAGCAAGTGATCCCAGAAATGTTTTTATTTTATATAAGAATTAAATAAATAAAACGATGGGACAAGGTTTGAGGTTTTGCTACTTATATTAACTTTATAAATATGAGCCTCGGTGGCACAGTGGTTAGAGTGCAGTACTGCAGGCTACTTCTGCTGACTGCCAGCTGCCTGCAATTTGGCAGTTCAAATCTCGCCAGACTCGAAGTTGACTCAGCCTTCCATCCTTCCAAGGTGGGTAAAATGTGGACCCAGATTGTTGGGGGCAATACGCTGACTCTGTAAACCGCTTAGAGAAGGCTGTAAAGCACTGTGAAGCGGTATATAAATCCTATAGCTATTATATTACTAATAGGTATTGCTATTATTTAGTATATTAAATCTCTCACCGAGGCAACTCTGGGCATCTTACAGTCATACAATTAAAATACCATATGAAACAATAAATAAAAACAATAAATAAGAACCATACATTTAAAATTCAATTAATCAAGATCAAAAGGAAGGGAGCAAAGTGCACATGGGAAGGAGGTGGGCTCTGACTAACCCATTAACCACCACCAAGGTGCCACTCTCCTATTGAGGCTGCAGGGCAGTTGGCAGAGAGAGGTCTTCAGGCCCTTTTGTAAGGCCAGAAGGGAGGGTATGGAACTCACGTCGGGGGTGGGTGGGGGGAGGACATTCCAGAGGGCAGGCACGATGACAGAAAAGACTCTTCTCTCCATTTCAGAAGGTAATTTAGGTGAGATGGGTGGCAGACAAGTCAAATAAATAAAGAACCATAGGACATGGCTGGAATTCCTTAAATGACGGGGTCTGCAGCACGCCTCTTCTGCCAGCATGGGTGGGGCAGACTCATCCGATTGGAATAAGCTGGTTCCTCAGATAACCTGGATCCATGCCCTGGATGGCTTTATAGGTGACAACCAATACCTTGAATTGGACACAGAAGCAAACTTGCAGCCAATGTACAGTAGCTTGCAGAACAGCAATGTAACATTTCCCCACGTTCTTATAGTGGAGGCTGAAGACACATTAGAGACCTTTTAGTGTAATGGATTACTACTGTTTTTAATCTTAATGATTGGAGAATTTAAACAACCTTCAGAGAAATGCAAGGGTGAATGTTTGCTGTAGACACTGAATGATGATTTATTTATTGTCTCCGTTTGGTGTTAACTTTCTCTTTTAATTTCAAATAAAGGTATGGACACCATGAGTGAGACAAGTTCTGTCAGCCTCGAAGCCACAACTGACATCAGTGAGACTTCAGTGGCTACCTCCATCTTATCTCCTTTTGCATCTGGCCACAGTCGAGATGAGGCAGATAATCGGAGTGAGCATAGCTACAGTGAATCGGGGGGCAGTGGCTCCTCCTTTGAAGAATTGGACATGGAAGGCAATGGTGATGGAATGGCAGGTCTGTCATGTGACCTTGGTTCTGCAGAAGACCGAGACACCGCCCAAGTCAAGTGGACCAAGGAGCCTATCGCCCCAGAAGAAAAAAGGGGTGAAGAATAAAGTTATCTGTTTACTTACGTTTTAGGGACTGAAAAGAGAAACTGATAATAGTTCTTGATTCTTTTCCGTCCAGCCAAAAAAATTTGGTTACTGATCCATGTTGAGAGCTTGCTACATTTTGTCTGCAAACAAATATTTGGAGAGTAATATAAAGGAGAGGAAATTATATTCAGTAGAACAATGAATATAATCATATTTTATAGCCAGGCTTAAGGAGGTGTGCTGCAATAGGAAATTGAAAGTGAGATGGGATGCAGTGGTGATGGTGGTGAGTTTTGTTTGAACCAGCAAATACAAGATTTTACATAGACTACCCCTGGTCTTAGCATCTTTTAAATTCTTCCTGCATCCTATCTTGTTTGACCTCCGATTGGCTGCTTTTCTATAACATGCACACTCAATTTGGTGCTACATCTATTAAGACCAAAGAACTGTAGCACTTATTATTGAAAGAGAATAGTGCAGACTTTCTTACGTGTTTTTATCATGCAGCATATGAATTCTTATTATAATACAGTAGTGCCCTTGGAAAGGTAATGGGTTATGTGCAGGTTAGTGTAATCCCAATTAGTCTCATGTGTTTGCTCCATTTCCCTCTGTTATTGGTGCCATTTCTCTCTCTTTTTGGTTTCCATGATATAAATAAACCAAGTTCTTGATAGTTACATTTGATATCTTTGGGAACCAAATTCCTTCTTTAGTTTCTTATGTGAAATTGTCCATCAGAAAGAAAAATCCATCACTGTTAGTATTAATGGAGCCCTTTTTCTACAGTCTCAGGAAGCAGGCTGTTGAGAATGAGGAAATGCAAAGTAAGCCAATGACCAGTAGATGACCCAGCTGCCTGTGCCACTACTATTCCTTCACTACTGTGATGCGGTAGTAACTGAATGTAGGAAAAGATAATTTGCTCAGTGCTGTTCAAAAGACTCAGGTACTATAGTAACCATAGAGAAGTTGAGCCAGTGTGTGAACCACAGCTGAAAGTTATTATATATTATGACTTGGTGAAGTTGAGTTCTTCCAACGTGATTCCAAAGCACCTCTTACATTAGGATGAAATGACAGTGTTTATCATTTTGCACTGGCAATAGTTTTGAATGCTTGGTCAAAACAAAGAGGTCTCTATAAAGTTGGTATTCTGAAGTATTGAACCAAATTTGTCGCTCCTAAATCTCTAGTAAAGCTCTTCTACTGAGGAATCAATTGCTGAGAAATGTGGCAATAGTTGGAATCCTCACAGTTTCATTATTGTAGCTTGAGAAAGCATTGAGACAGCAGGTTGAAGAAAATATTAATATCTGTATATTAGGGATAAAGTATTTGCTCCTCTTCAGCACTTCTTGGTTCTCTTGCATGCATCCTCTTACTAGAGATTGATGGCCCGCTCTCTTTCTTAATGGGTTTGTGTCCACACAGTAGGTTAGAGGAGTTCAAAATTTAGCCACCTTCAGACCTGCCTTGTTCTGAGCATTGACTTAGCCTGGGCAGGTAATTAATGGAATGCAGTGTTAGAATGGTCTTTTAGTTCCTTCTCCCCAAGCAATCACAATTGATTCCTTCCTTTGTGCTCTGTTGTTGCCTCTAAAGTCTCAATTCCCTGTTTAGCTTTTTATTTCCTGATGCTTAAATCTATATTCATATGCTCCGAATTCTGATTTAATGTAACAAACCAAATCAGTACTGTGCATCAGAAGCTTGGAATGTAACATGGAATTATTTGAATGAAAATCTTCCAACTGTCTTATTTTAGTTTCATTTGTGCAGGTCTCCTATGCATTCCCATTTCCTCAGACATGCTTGGATGTCTAGTGCTTATATGCCTGTTCATATCTGTAGCTCTAGCTAGACTTTTGTGCTCCTGATTAAGGCTAAATTGGACATTAGACAACACCATTTATGCCATTGCTGTGTTTTTCCTGCGTATCCTATAAACACTATCAAACAACAGGGATACAGGAAATAAGGAGGCGGCATATAGTTATTAGTGTGCTATGTCTATCCCCAGAGTTTATTTGACATGATAATCTTCCTTCCTTCCTTCCTTCCATCCATCCATCCATCCATCCATCCATCCATCCATCCATATATCAGTATGAAAGTATTTTTACTGGATGTTTCATTTAGGTTTGTGCAAACATTGTTTCCAGCATCTTCTTTTATTCCTCTGGACCATGCCAATCTGGACATTCTAGAGTTGGTTCAGCAACTTTATGGTTGTAAATCTTCAGGGCATGCTCAAACTACTTCTTATCCTAGAAAATTTACTTCCAGAAAGACCACTTCCTACTTCTGGGAATTTTCCTACTTCCAGGAAAACTGCTAGACCACTCTTGAAGCTGCCAAATCTGTGTGGTTTGGAGAAAGGATAGGACCATTCTTCCAGCATCCTGTCTTTGGAACAATTTGCACATTCCTAGTTTTGTTGTGAAGTGTATGTGTTTATCTCGCATATTTGTGGATAAATAGTACATATCCTTGTCTGTGTTTCCATGTATGAATATGCATACTCATACATGTTTATAATCTGCAAGTGTGAGGGGCGTGTGTGCATGTGTTTACAGAAATGCCATATAAATTCACCATTCTACACGTGCCAATACATACCTTCTTTTCTTTGAGCACACATTAATGTGCTGTTTATTTGTTAACAATGTTTTATAGATATAGACAAGATGTTCAAGGAAGATACATTCAATAATTAAGCCTTGTTTCTGATTGTAGAGGTTGTTTTGCACACCTGGAAGCTAACCTGTTGGAAAGAAAAACAACTAGTTATCTGGACAACTTCCATAGCAGGGGAATTTCTAAATTAGGAAACTGTTTCTCTGATTTTCCAGTTTTTCCCCAACAGGAAATTCAGTGAGGCTGATCAAAAATAGAATAAAAATCTTCAAACAGCAAATCCCTCATGTACCTTCTAAAATCCCCTGTGTTAATGAATCAAAATGTTTTCTTTGCTAACCTGAATCATTTAGAGGCTCAGGTGCAAATGTTTCATGGGACAGTTTTCTTTAGGTCAAAAGAAAACATATATATTTTTAATGGTAGCACAGATAAATGATTTTTTCCTCCTCCCATTCTTCTTTTCTCTAATGCTAAACTTTGGAAAAGGTTTTGTCTTGCCCTGGAAGTTAACAAGCAATATGAAGTCATTTGGACTGTTTGAAGACATTGTGAAACATGAGGGAAAGGTAGAAAGTTACTGGCCATGCCATATGATGGAATGAGGAACTGGGGATGAATTACTGTGAGAAATGAGCCTCATTCTGAGGATGGCAGAGTGGAAGCAGTTTCCCCATTCATTCAGTATTAGTTGAATCTTCTGATTTAACAAGACAGACAACACAAGATTCTGGTTGCTTTAATACTGTCAGAGAATAACAACACCTTAATCAATCAGATGGATAAATTTGGCACATTGTTTGCTTGCCGTGACTCGGACCAAGAGCAGGGAAAACTGGCCAGTTACTGCTTCTAGTCATAATCAACTTTATTTGGAGTTGGCCCTCGAAGTTTTGCTTTCTATAAAGACTTACTCTGGTTTCTTGAGGTAGATACTGAACCTAACATTTTTCTGGGTTTCTCTCAGCACTCCCTGTTTTGGCCCAGGGGAGGGAGGGCGAGGCTGCTAAAGTAATGCTGCATGGCAGTGACTGGTTTTTGGTTAGTAATCATTACTGAATGACTAGCCTTCTATAGAATTTCAGGCATGAGAGTAGAATTATTAAAAATCTTGGTTACCATCCCTTGGGCCAAACTACAGTGATTATTCTAGCGTTCAAGAAGCAAGATCTATCTGGTAACATATTCCAGACTGCTTCGGGAATTATGTCATATTTCCCAGGCTTGCTTGGGGCATTACTGGAGTTAGTTTGTTTTAGGCACTTGTCTGGCAGACAGCTTGAAGATGTTCTTCTTATTCTGTGCTACATTTCTCTTTCTCTGTTTAACACTTGCTGTGCTTGTGGAGGTACTGTGATAGTGAGTAATACATCCAAGCATCTCAAAAACAAGTAATATTTCATTTCTTGGTCTAAGCACAACTGGCTCTTATGGCAGAAAAAAAGACTCTGTAATCTACAACTGATACAAAATGCAGGACTTCAAAATGAACATATTTGAAGAAAATGGTGCTGATAGATAAAGAAGTCCTGCTATTATTCTAATTTTATTGTTGCCTGTTGAGACATTTCAGAGGTGAAGACATGCAGCTTTTCTGACATCTTCCTTTTTTTAGCCCAAATATCATCTATGGTGAGCATCTCATTTTCATTATCATCTCTGTGTTCTGAAAGATCAGTAGCACCTGATTAAAAGCCTGGTGATACTTATAGAAGTCTCTCATTAATAAGGTTGAGGTTATGATGATGAGTAAGAATAATCTGGGCATCTAGAAAACTAAACATGAATGAGTGTGGAACAAGATTTTAGATAATACAGAATGCAGCACATTCTTCCTATGGCTTAGCTAGTATCCATGTACTCAAAATTATTAGGAGTATTGAAACCTTTGATTCAAATTAACCGCCTTAAAGTTTTGGGGTTTCTTCTATTTTCTGCTGCGCTTTACTTTTTTAAAATTCCATTTTTTTCCTCTACTTCTGTATCCCAACATGTTTTTGGACCTAAATGTCTAGATAAAACTGTCTTATTCAACAGAAAAATGCAGAGTACTCCCTGCATATCTCTGCTGTTCTCACATAGGACTAATTCATGTACATCTAGATAGGGTACAGTAACTACAGTTCCATGACAACATATCTCTTAAACCAACTGTTGGCAGGAAGAATGGATTGTTAAATTGTTATTTCTCATCCATATATGTTCTTCGCTGAAGCATTATTTCATAGGCACACCAGCATTATGCCATATAGCTCTCCAGAGTTCTGAATCCAGCCATTAAAACATATAAAGTACCTATTACTAAGGGAAGTAATGCATTTCATGGGGCTGTAGAACTTCCATGTAAACAGGTAAACTGGAAGAGGTATTACATCTGGATCTTAACCCTGCAGATTATCCTTCAGCCAGCAATTTGCACTGTAAAGCGATAAGGAATGGCAGCTTAGAGCTTGTTAATTATTAAAATAC